AGTTACACCCGTGAAGATGCTCCACTGCCCATGCCCTAAGTGTTCTCCCTTTAAATATGGCCTAATGTCTCTAAAAGAATTGTATTAACATATTATACTACTGATTTGAATTGTTCATCATGATGAATTCATTTCTTCTTTGAGTGGTTTCAAGTTTCAACTTTTTCAATTACCAATATATTTTCATTATGGACAAAAAGTGTAGAATTGACTGTGTTTTAAAAACGTTGGACCGTTATCTTCAAATCAGGCCTAAATTCAGCTCAGCCCATTAGGTATCACGGCTAGTGCAATTGTGAAAAAATTTTAAGTGTTTTTTTAAGTGGGCTTGTTTTATTAGTAACCTACAGGTCACTGATTTTTAATCTGTCCAGTGTCCATTGATCTATTTGGAAAATCGAATGTTTAATTTCGTTTGCTCTTTTACTTATAACAAAAAGATTGCTATTTTTGCAAGAGATAATCCTAGTGGTTATAGCTGATTGCTTCTGTTCATGCAATTACAAAATTAGTGAACCAATCTCTCTGCTTTTTCAAGATTTAGCTTCTCATGTATCTACACTATGGCCTGCATGCAATGTATAACTTTGGGAGATGGATGTTTTTGCGAGATGCTAAATCTGATAAGAGAAATGTTTTTCCATAGTCATGGAAAGAATATCAAAGTTCCTAATAAAGGCAAGTCAGATTCAAGTGAATCCTTGTCTCAATTAAACCTCAGAATATAATCCGCGTATTTGGGTAAAAATGTTAATGGTCTCAAAGCTCGTTGACTTGTCATCTGATGTTAGGTGTTTAGAGGCTTAAATTAGCTCAAATTTAACATCAAATCGTATTTTGGTCAAATTAACATTTGTGAATTGTTAAAGAAAAAAAAGACCTTGTGTTAATTGTAGTTTTTTTGCTAAATGGATAATGTTGATTACATATAAACACTATTTAAACTATTTACAAAATAGTGACATGCTTGCATCTTTCCCTACGTGAATCTTTCTCTCTGCCCGATATATAGTTTATAATTCTTGCGGATATATACTTGTCCAAATATTTTACATAAAAATAAAATCCCACGAAATTGATGTTTTTGACTTTAATTTGTTTTGTAGTGTCTTCCACGTTCCATTATTTCTATAACAACCAAATAAGCATATGATTTAAGTGGTAAACTGCACCACGAAATTAAAGCAACGAAACTACATACATAATAAATAAAAATATCAAAATCAAGAAAAAGTCACAACGACCAACAAAATAAATAAAAAAAGGGTATTGGTGATCAAAACTCAACGACAAAAAGGAGAGAGTGGGTTAGTTGAATGACCATTTTGTTCGCATGTCTACTCTCTCTTCTCCACCTTCTTTTTATGCTCTCCTATTTTTCCGACGACTCAAAACAATCAAAAACTACATTTATTTATTAATTTTTGTATATTCCAATTCTAAACTAAAATAAAAAGTTTCACCTCATATTATTATTCTACTTAGCTATATACACAATTGACTAAAATTAATTATTTTGTGAACATCTAATAGCAAAATAATAATAATTTTTTTAAAAAAGGAAAATGATACTCCCTTCGTTTTAAATTTGTTGTCGTTCAAGGTTTTTTCACTGTTATTAAGAAAACATTCAATTTTCTTGCTTTACCCCTAATTAATGTATTGTTTTATGTAATACTCCCTCTGTTTCACAAAGAGTGTCATTCTAGAGTTTGATTTTTGTTTCACAAAGAGTGTCATTCTACATTTTCAATGTGACTTTTACACAAAACTTCCTGATTTACCCTTAACTTAAAGGTACTTCTCATTGAATTTGAATCATAAATCACTTATTAAATAGGAGCATATATGTATAATTCAATGTTTTCTTAATTTGTGTGAAATGTGTCAAAATGACACTCTTTGTGAAACGGAGGGAGTATTATCAATTAATAAGCTAAGAGAGTGTATGAGTAAAATTGGAGAATCCGTCAAAAATATGCATTGAAAATTTAAAACGACAACTAATTTGAAATAAAATTCGATTTTTAAAACGACAAATGATTTAAAATGGAAGGAGTATAAATTTCAGATTATTTTATGATTATTCAAATTTGAGTTACATTAAATGTGAAACTAAGTAATTAGTTGGAGATATTAGTGGAATTGATCTAACGGCAGTTAAGTCTTAATTAATTGGTTTATCCAAAAAAAACACCAAAATTATTAGTGCAAAAGACAAGTGTCAATAGTAAATAGATTCATAAATAGAATTAGAAACCCCAACAGAAATGTGAAGCTTCCAAAAAAAAAATATATCAAAAAACATAATTTTTTCTTCGTTCTTCTCTGAGATTTTAAAGCTTTCTCTTTTTTTCAATGGAAGAATCTCCGGGCATCAATGGCGTCGATGATTCATATCGTCATCTTCCAATTCTCTACTTAACTTTTTTAACGATCTGGTCTTTTTCCGCTTGTTCTTGGACAGTTAACACTTTCAAAAATCGACACTTTCAGGTCAATTAATCTCTAATTTTCTCTCTTTAATTTTGATAAAGTTTGGATTTTTCACTCTTGGGTTGATGAAATTTCTTCTCAAATTCCAAATATTGCTCAATTCAATCAGATTTTTGCAGAATGGTACTTGGGGTTTATTCTTGTAACCATGAATTCAGATTTCAGATGATTCTGTTTTTGATTTGTCTCTTTTATGTTTTGAAACACAATTTGATTTGATTATGTGTTTTGTTTAGAGCAGACAAATAGTTTACAATGGACTCTTGCTTCAGTTCCATTAATCAAAGCATTACAGCTTACACTATCTTTCCTCTTTTGGTAAGTCCTCTTTGTGAAGTTATTGTTTCTATTAATGTTCCTTTGTCAAATTGAGAAACTTTTTTTCGATGTATATAAATTGGTGAATTGGTATTTGGTTTGGTGGCAGGCATTCATGTTTTCACCATCACATTTGCTCTCTTTGGATGTCTTTTGGTGTATATGTGACTGGTGTTCTGTTTCAGACAGCTTCATTTGTCTCTTTTTTACTCATCTCTCACGGTTATTGCATCACTTGTGAACGGCTCTCATTGACTGAACGTAGAACCACTGCTTCACTTGGTTGTGTTTTTTACTTGACGCTTGTTGGATACAGAGCTTCTGTTCCTTATTTTGCAGTGAGTTTTTTTTTTTACCTTTTTCACCTAAAGCTACTGTTTTACTTACTTACCAGATGATGATGATGATGAATCAATCTTCTTTACTTTCTCCAGGTGCTTCTGATACTTAACTACATGATCTCATTCTATGTTATTTTCCACCACATATCGCAAAACTTAGCGGTGTTACGAGAACAGCTGAGTTTTATCGAAGATGAGAATGTTCAAGCTATGCATGATGCTGTCTATGCTAAATACATCATGTTTAAGTACGGTGTTTTCATTTTTCTCTGTACCCTCAGTTCCGCGGTAGATGGAAGTAGATAACATTCATTTCTCTTTTGTTTTCAGAAAATTCCAAGGAGCTATGCAGATTGTAGCGATGGCAGAAACTGTGGTATGACCGAATCTTTCCTTTTTCGACATCATGTTGGATTTGCTGCTTCATTGTTTATACTCACACTCACTTGGAATTTTTGCAGATCTATATGAACATGGATAACTCCTCGCAGAACTATTGGCTCCGGCTACTAATTCGAGAATGGGCTCAGTTCTGCATTTTTCTCTATATTGGGTAAGTTATGATCACACTTTTCAACTTCTCTGTTCTAGCTTTGGTCAAGAACTAACAATGCTCCAAACTATACTTTGGCAGTTGGACTTTCAGGTCTCAGGACATGGCACCGCGTTTCTCGGTAATGCCTACACTAAAACCCAAAGAGAATACAATTATTCCTCCGATTTATAGCATGGTAAGTGGCACAATCTAAACGTTGTTTGCCTTATGGTATTTTGGATTAACTGAAACCTATAGCTAACCCTTGCTTCGCAAACGTTGTTCTACTTATGCTAAATCTATATACTAAAATGTCAGGAAATGGACGCAAAATCTTTCAAAGAATTCAGAAGTCAAGAATGGAACATCGGAGTGGTAAGTCATTTCATTTATGCTCTTGTTCCATTGGATCATCAAACCAGAGTTTTATGTAAACTCATTCTGCGATTAAATCTCTTTTTGCAGCCAACACCATATTCAAACTACGAGAAGCAAAAAGATTCAGTTTTAGTGATAATTCAGCATCCGCGATAGCATTTAGAGAAAAGCGAAAGATACAATGTTTCCTCTTTCCATCTTCCTAAAGAGAGTGAAAGACCGCCAAAATTGACAAAGTTTCTCTCTGATTAAAGACAAGATGCTTCCTCAGCAACTACCTTTCTCTCTTTCCTTTAACATTTTTAGTTTGTTTCTCTCCTTTGGGGTTTTGCGGGTTTCTTATCTTATAGAGGAATAAAAGTTTATTCTGTTGTATAGATGCAAAAATTAGTTCTAGTATAATATGCTTCAAATGAAAATGTACACACAATGTTTCATCTTTTTCTTCACAAAATGAAACAAAAGAAACATTTAGAGAAAGCATGTCTAAATCCTTTAAGAAAAAATCTGTCTTCTCCACATACTCTACAAATCCATGTCCAGTCTTTAATTTGTGTTCTTGAATTAATCAATGTATATAGTCTTCTTATTGAAAGGATTAATTACTACGATTTTGTGGTATTTAGGATTATGGTAAGTTAAGGGTTTGGTAAGAATTATTGCAAAAAGGGGATTTTCAAAAATACTATAAATATGTCATGTTTTTCAAAAATACCATTATTTAAACAAAGTTGTATTTTTTTTCAGTTGATATATACTACTAGGTCCATTCCGACTCTGGCCTGGCTTAGCACATGTGCTAGGAGTGCTAAAGCACAGGGTCCAAGGGTCCAATTTTTTTTTCTCAGGCCTAGCAGCAGATACTGATGTGAGGACTGATCAAGCGGTTTCCAATCAAACGAGGAAATGTGCAGGAATTGAAGATTATCAAAATTGCCTGAGTTGCTTAATTAACGCAATTAATATGTCAACTACTATAACACTGTCCTAATCCTATAAAACTAGAAACAGAGAGCAATTGAACAAGAAAACACCTATTGTAGTGTTTTAAGTCATCACAAAGCTTCTTCCATGGCAACACCATCTGCATCCTCATCTTCAACCATCTCATCTCTGAAGAGAGTTTTGAAATACGGTAAAACCTTAGGAAGCACTTGCAAATCTGCCATGTTTATACTCATCAGATCAAAGGCAATGCAGGTATTATGCATATGCGACTCATCAATCACTGGAATCTTCGGATATCTCTGGCTAAAATGCGTGAGAACAATCCGATACGCATTTGCCGAAGATCCCACATCGATTGCTTCTTTAGTCGTGCTGTGATTCTTCGCCAAAGCTTCTTCTATCAATGCATCTTCAAATGTCGCCTGTAACGATGACAAGTTATAAATGTCGAATAATAGATATGTCCGTAAAAGTTATTATCAAAATCTTTTACCTCATGTATAAGAACTGTTGCATCTCGTGATGCTTCAACGATCTCGGGACAAGGTCTTGTATCGCCTGAATAAACCATTTTCCATCCCGGGATTCGTTCTCCAACACTATTTACTCTTTCAGCTGCTTTTATAACGACACCATAGGCTTGAGGACAATGTACAACAGGAAAACTAATCAAATCATCCAATCCGATTTCGCTAAGAACCTTCTTCAGATTCTTTAAACACAGCAAAACCGAAGAATTATCCGTCGGGATATCAGATCTTTTGAAGACACTCTGCATAGGACTTCCTTCACTAAACAAAGAACCCTCTGCATCGCCGCCGCCGCTTTCTAAAGAGGCCCAAGAAGTTGCTGTGGTGCTTCTACAATCAAGAAATTCCATATCCAAATCCTCAAGTCTTTGATATGCATCGAGAAAACGTTTAAGCGGCCTCGGTCCCACCACAATAACTGGCTTATGAGTCACTCCTTTCAAAAGCTTGCTTCTAAGAGCTAGAATCCTCGCAAGACCCGTATGGTGATCGGCGTGGATGTGAGAGATCCATATACATCTCAACTTTCTAACCGCCTCATCTGCACCGTCTAAACCATATCTTCTTTTAAGCTGCCCCAAGGTTCCTTCACCGCAATCTAGGAGAAGACTACCTCTAGAGAATAGGTCAATATAAATTGCACTGACATTTCGGTATTTCGAAGGCTGAGACGAACCAGTGCCTAAGATAACAATCTCCATGTCATCTCGTCTAATGTTTTCAAGACAGCTAGGAAGAACAGTATTGCTCTCAGTCAGCCATAGCTTTTCGATGATCGTCTTGTTGTGTTGTTTATTCCAGAACTGCTTGATTTCTTCGCTTTTATCTGTAATCTCCGGAATTTCAGAAAGTAGCTCATCCAATACTTCTGAGGATGTCAATTGAGCAGGGATACAAGATCTGTCTATCCCACGAATAGCCACGGGACGCAAATTGAACTGCCCACAATATCCATAGAAAGTTAACAGAGCAGGAGATTTTAAGAGCTAAGGATAGATTCAGTTTCGATTTGCACCCTAAAATTTAAACCGAAAATGTTGGAGAATGTCAAGTACCTTGAGGAGATTTTCAGCAGAAATGCTTTCAGCAAGATTTGAACTTGAGCACTGTAAGAATACACAACTTTACTTAATTAAATTTTGACAAAGAAAACTTATATATCAACTTAATATGAGAAAAACAATAAGCAACCTTGTTCCAAGGAGTGGAATCTATCATCGACATATGAGCAAGGAGTTGAGAAGGCCAAAATCCAGGAGCAGGAAAGAACTGCGGGCATAGATAGTTAAGTCTGGCAGTGATTCTTGAACTTGCTTTCAGAATTGGGAAAGCCATATTCTTCCTGGATAATAGACACCAAACACAACATAAGCACCGACCAAATTACCAAACAGTTTTTTGATGAGAAACAACTATAAGAAGAGGATCAACCTTTGATGGCCAGCAAGAATGTGTTGAGTCGAATGAAACTTCTTCATCCAGCTTTGGTAAGTAGGACTACTTGTCACAGAAGATGGACTCAAATGTATAATACAATTTACAAACTTTGCTCCATCGGTTTGATAGCTCTCCAAAGACTTGACTGAGAACAGTTCTGCGGCGTGCGACTCTGTTGGACAGTCCACAAGGAGAACAATGGGACCAGGAAGTGAAGGTCCCATTACATCACTTGGATAAACCTAAGATCAAACATGAACAGTCTGTTACAATTTCACACAATCTGTCTCATAGAGACAAAAATAAACAGTCATTGGAAATCGCAGAAATACCGTTATATCTCTTTCATCCGACTTCACTGATTCTCCGGACTGAAGTTTACTATATTTTGGACCAGGCTTAACACCAAATATCTTCTTGGCCTTCTCTAAGTCAAATTTTCCCAATATTTCAGGTAATTCACATACATATACAACTGAGAGCTCGCCAGATTTGTTGACAGAGTCTTCTTCCTCAGAGTGAGACGGTTTTAAGATAATGGCGGATATTTTCACAACTTCGTCGTTCACAAGAACAATAGGATCAGGTGTACTCGAGGGACCAAAACTCCGCGTATGAACCATAGCCGCCCGTGGAATAAATGACTTCATTGCATCAACTAAATAGTTAAGATCTGAAGGACCCCATACATTCACCTTTGTAACAAAAACAATACTTCAGCAATTTCATACACAAGAAACACAAAAACAATATAACAAAAATACTCACCGAAAGCCCTTCTTCACCAATACCAGCAAGAGTTAGTAACAGACCTAGAACAACATCAAAACAAGAATAACTCAGCATCAACAATAAACTAAAACCTCAAGCAACAAAGACAAAAGTCGAAGCTGGAACCAAACCTGGAAGTCCTCCTGCTGTCTCTGAGCAGACACGAGACAAAAACACATGATCTATCTGTAAAAATAGTTCACCAAATCATCAGAATTATAACTCACATCAACACACACACATACAAAGAAAATAACAGAGGAAACATACCTTTGATAGTTTAATCTTATGCTCTGTACAAAAACGTTGCAAGCCCTAAAAAACACATTCAATTTACAAAGTAAGTGATCAAAGAAACAAACTTTAATACATTGCTGAATCTGTAAGAGCTTTCTATTTACCTCTCCAGCATTAAAGATGAATCTTTGCTTGTCAAAGAAGAGTAATACAGAAGATGATGTATCCTGAGTATCCATTCCCGTTCCAAGAATCTAAATTGATGAAATTTCACACAAAAAAGATCAGATTTTTAAGTATGGATGAGAGATTAAAAATTCAAAATTGGAATATCTATTAACCTGTGCGTAAGCAATAGTGTTAGAGGGATTAAGCTTTTGGGTTTTGCGTTCAAGATTTCTTTTTTTCTTATCGGTTTTATCAATTCCTTCAGCTCTTCGCTTATTAAAGACGAAAGAAGAAGACTTGGTACCATTAGTAGATTCGTTGTTCTCCATTGAAGACGATGAAGAAGAGAAGAGGGTTGAGAGAGAGAAGGATCGTGGAGAAAAGGGTCTGAGAGAAAGTGGGAAAGGAGAAGACTTTGAAGAGAGGAGAAGAAGAAGGCGTAGGTTTTTGTGTAAATAGGGCATTGAGTTTATCATCTCTGCCTCTCGAGTCTTTCCTCTTTCGCCAGAAGGGTTTTAGGAGGCTTAGTCAAAAGAAGAAGGTTTTAATGATATTAATTTGATGATTGGTAGGATTAGCAATAAGCTGGAGTAGCTCAGTTGGTTAGAGCGTGTGGCTGTTAACCACAAGGTCAGAGGTTCGACCCCTCTCTCTAGCGTTATTTTTATTTTGTGCTTTTTAAACTGGACATATATGAGACAATAGTATCAGGCCCAAAGCCCAAAGAGAATCTTATTTAAGAACAAAGTTTTTTTTTCCTTTTTTGATACTTTTTAAGGCATACAATCACATCGTAAACCAAACAAGCAAAATATTAGAAAAACAAGAATGATACATCATTCATAATGAAAGATTTTTTAAGCAGAGGAAATAAGAGGAACACGTTCGGACTCGGTTGGTTCAGGCTTGGACTCAGTGATAAAAGCATTGGTGTAGATAACTCCAGCAAGTCCCCCACCAAGAAGTGGACCGACCCAATAAACCCAATGTCCTGAAAAATCTCCAGCCGCAAGAGCTGGTCCAAAGGAACGAGCAGGGTTCATGGAACCGCCAGAGAACGGACCGGCTGCAAGAATGTTAGCACCAACTATGAGTCCGATAGCAAGTGGAGCGATTGTTCCGAGAGTGCCATTGTTGGAGTCAATGGCTGTGGCGTAAACGGTGTAAACCAATGCGAATGTGATTATGATCTCCATCACTACTCCTTGTGCTGATCCTACTCCAGCCGCAACGTTGTGAATTGGAATCGCCTGCGTTTTCAAGATTTTTTACGTTTTGTTAATAATATCCAAAAAAAAAAAAACACTTTTGAAAATAATATATGTTAATATGAAGTTGGTGAGTGATGTCAAATTGGTGAGTATTGAAAATACAAACCACTTGGTAAAACATATATATTCACAAATGATATTATTATCAAATAAAAATAGAGATTATTTCTCCTAAGAAAATCTATCATTTTCCGAAATTAATTCTCCATATAAATTACTTGAATAAAAACTGAAAACATATATATGTTGAGTAAGAAAGTAAGTGAGTAAATTAGACCATACCAAACCACCGGTGACAAATTTGAGAAGGAAGCAAGCGACAGTGGAGCCGAGAAGCTGAGCGATCCAATAGAAAACTCCGGTGATGATTGTGACTTTTCCGCCGACAACAAGGCCAAAAGTCACGGCCGGGTTAACATGGCCACCAGAGTGGTTAGCTGCGATCGAAACCGCCACAAAGAGGGCAAAACCATGGCAAATCGCAATCGCCACTAGTCCGGATGCATCAAGCGCCGCGTTCTCCGTTAGCTTCCCTATAATATACAAATAATTATCACATTCGTTAAGTATTAATCCATATATAATAACAAATTAGGAGACTAAAATACATTTTCTATGGGAAAAATGTAATATTAGTTTGATATGATCGGTTTAACAATTGATAACTACGTTACAAAACCTATGTATTACAAATAACTGGTTAAGTAGTGATCCATATTACATATAATTATAGCGATCCATATCTACAAATTACGAAATTAAATTACAGTTTTTTTTATCACAATAAAGATGAAATATTTCAATATAGATGTAACAAGTGAAAACAACGGTATAGTAACCAATAGATGTTTGCCCAAAAAAAAAAGTAACCAATAGATAAGTTTAATTTCGATCCTATATGGTTGGTCATGATCTTATATAATCGAAATTGCGGAATTTGAAATGTTTTAGGTAGCAAATGGTACAAATTGAGAGATAGAGAACGAACCAAAGGCAATGGCTGAGCCAACGCCAGCGAAAACAAAGAGCAAAGTGGAGATGAACTCGGCGAGGTAAGCTTTTAAAGTGACCAGTTTAAAGGAGTCTTCAAAGGAACCAATAATGTCAAGACCGGCCATTGTTGAAACGTGTGAAGAACGTATAGAAGAAGAAGAAGATTAGTTGCCAATGCGAAACACAAAAGGACCTTTTGCATGTCATACTCTATATATAGGAGCATATTCTTAATATATAATCCACGCATAATTATTGACATTATAAGTTTTGTTAGTGCGTTGGACATGAGTTCTAATGATTGGTTTTATTACCTGTTATAAAATATTTTACGTCATGGCCGGTTACGAAAATGTTGAATCAAGAATTCAAGTTTTTCAGGTCACCGTAATTATAATTAACATGATTACCTAAACAAACAAAAACAAATTAACATGATTGATCAATGATCATATGTTTCCATTTTTGGAACTATCAATAAACTAACATATGTAATTGACTTACACGATTATAATTCATAAGTTTATAGAAACTCTTTTTGATAAAATCACAATTATACAGACATGCATCATTAATATTTGTTCCAACGTCGTCTTTTTTATATCAAAATTAGGATCGGACAACAAATTTTCAAGAAAATAATTTTCAGCTGAGAGGGATAGTGTGAGCTGTGGCCAACGTGGAACATATAGGGACCAATGATCTTCCATGTGATATGGTGAGATTTTGAAGAGACTTTGACTTAGTTTTCATTTTAAATTCATCCCTAATGCTATGGTTATAGCTCTTTGCCTTTCTTATGCAGAGTTTTTACGTATCAATTTAGTGGAAGAAGTATAACCAAATAAGATGGTAATTGGGTTGACCAAGACTAAAAAGAGATGAAACATCTCAATTCAAGTTAGGTAAAGCGAATGCAAAACTACATGCAACATCTCTTTTTAGTTTTGCATTCGCTTTACCTAACTTGAACAACTCAATTCTCTATATATATTATTTTTTTTGGTATTAATGTTAAATATTTATACTATTTTTGAGTTAATGACAGAAGTTACCGAGACAACAAGTACCAAAAACATAAAAACTACAGAAAATAAAATACAACATCACAACTCATGCTACGGAGGAAAGCAAGCGAGAGCTCATGGCTAAGCCGCAAAAAGAAACACCGTATCCAAACTGTAAAGCATGGAAATTTGCGTGATTTCCATAGATCAAACGACATGGATTCCTCATTATAGTTGCCACGAGCATCCAACCAAGACCGTCCTCAAAACCTCGGGATAGGAGCGTATAGCTTCTCCGAAGACTAACGCAAAAACGGAAAGACATACGTTATTGGAACAACTCCAAAGTATGTAAATTCGTTTATGTACCACCAGAGTACTGAAACAACAAGAGAAGCAACACCTACGAATATGCTTACTTCATCAACCGGCCTTTTATATATTAGAAGGCGAATCTCATAAACTTTCACAAGAAGATATTAGCCATGAAGATTCTCTCAAATGTTAGGTATAAGCATGCGTTTTTAATTTGGTTGGTTAGGAATTTTTGAGCCGGAGTATATGCATATATATATGCTGATTTTGTTGCTAGAGAATCATCCCTTGTTGCAATTGTTTGGATATGTATATTTGTACAATCACAACACAAAAATGATATAATTGACAAATGATGTAGATAGATAATGTTACAGTTATATACCATATAAACCGTTAGTAATAAGAAATAAAAATCAATCTCAATTATTACCACATACAAGCTAAGAAAGATAGTTGATAAGATAAATCTCTACGTAGGTTTTTTTGTTAAGTCCGGAAGTTTCGGATTTCGGACCTTTGGCCCATAATCTTTTTTGGTGTCTTTCGGTTCCAAAAATCTACCAAAAATATCTTTCGGTTCCAAAAAAAAGAATTGAACCCAAGACACAAATAAACTAACCCCTTTATACTACCACTAGACCACCACCCAACGCATTGGTTCTCTACTTCGTAGTTGCATCTTTTACTTTCACTATTCTCATTTTTAAACTTCATTCTATCATTTTTTATAATTTTATCGCTGAGTTTTTATTTTCTCGCTTTCTTTTATTTAAGTCTCAACATGGTTTGATAGTCTAGGTCCATTATCAATTTATCATTATTCTAGTTTTTCTATGGCAATAACTGCAACTCGAATGATTCTTCAAATGAATAATCAGAGTTGCTCGAGGAATAAAGTAGATGACATTTAATTCTCCATACATCTTTTTCAAATTTATTTCAAAAAAATTAATAAGTATTTAATACTGCAAATATTTTTTAGAGAAATTTGAATGCAACTGTAAACATTTCTCCACTGAAATTATACAAACTTTCTTTTAATCAAATTTCTCTTTATAGTCTGCATTTGCTAACGTCCTTACAAGTATTTGTGAGATTGAACTTTGTATTGAAATTTTTTTCTATGATAGAAATAAAATACCATATTATATTGATTTTTTTTATCAACTAAGATAGGAATAAAAATAAATAAAAGAATAACAAATGTACGTGGTATGTGAAAACTTTTACAACAAAAAGAAAACAATGTACGTGGTGTGGGCTAATGTAGAAGAGTAACGCTTATCCCTAACCTACTCTCTCTTGTTGTCATCCACTGTGTTTGCCTCACTTTGTACCATTTGAATTTCAAGGGTCCCTTTATTATTAATTAGGTTTGAGTCGTTTGACTAATATTCCAATTTGATCTTATTATTGAAAATCCATTTTACCAAACCCTTTATAGTGACAACACTCAGGATATTAGAGCCCATCAAGAAAGAGAATCTTCTTATCTTTTAATTTTGTCGTCCTTTTATTAACCTGAATAATCACACACAAAGAATGTCTAAACGACTTTGGAAACGATATTTATGACTACGTTTATGTCGACGCTCCCCTACACGTCACGTCCTTGCAAAATGAATAGTATAATGTTAATACATGCAAAAACAGGGACTCTAGACAATTCTTACAACATACATATATATACATTCATATAATTCGTATGATTTCAAAAAGATTTGAAGGGGAATATAATATGGACCAAAAGGGATTTAAAAAATAGCCTACTAGAAATAGTAAATTGTTAGAACATGTATCAGTTAATATTCAACGCACTATATATATATAATATGTATCATCACACGTCAATCGACATCATCGACCAAATGTTGTTTACTAAATACTTACAGTTTGAATGTCTAGTTTTAAAGTAGTTTGTAAGACATTGTTAAATGGTCATTTTAACCACAATACTTAGTAACATCACTTGTAATAATAATAAAAAAAAAATTGGTTTATAGATGTCGTCATGTCGTCATGTCGACAATATAAAACGTCCAGAAAATGGAATAATTTTTAAGATTTAATAATAGACCGTAGAAATGACTTATGCGAGAACAACACGAGATCGAGTTGAAAGTCAAAGACATGGGTTCGTGCATTTGGACGAAAGGACAGGGAAAAGAACACAAAACAAATGCACGTTATTCTTTTTCTTCTCTTTGTTTTGATATCACAAATCTCCAGCGTTTTCAACTAAAATTGTAACTAATTTTGATGAAAGAATGGAAGGGACCAAGCTTTCCAATCAGAAGTTTTACATCAATTACAATTCTCTTACATCTTTTCTAAAGTGTGGTATGTTATATATTTAACATTTAATAAATATGTATTTTCCAAAGTGTGATATGTTATATAGTTTTTGATATGAAGATCATATCCATAGTCTGGTATGTTACAAACATTAGATAATTTCAATATAACCGTTGAGGCAAATAAATAAAATTGTAACTAAACATGATGAAAGAATGGAAGGACCAACCTTTTCAGTCGGAAGTTTTACATTTATTACGATTTCTTGCATACACTTGTAATTTGCTATTATTTTTTCTAAGATAAAATATTTTATTATCTCATTTTCAACAGAAAAACGATATGGACCTACATATATATAATATTAGTTTTCGACTTCTAGTTGATGTCAAATTAAACGAATAAAATATTAACGTTCAATATCTTTTACTTTCTAACAGAACATATGTTAATCCCCAAAACTTACAGGGATGAATTAGGCAAAGCAACTTAGTTTGGGGAGGAATTGGCCATTTTCCCTATTGTATGGTGTTTAAACATAAGCAAAAATGAACTCGGAAAATGATATTTAATGTAATATAACGAGAATAGGAATTACGAAACAGGAACGACATGGAAGGAGACATGACGGGATAAAAACATAGATTTTATACTAGAACAAGTTACAATTCAAACAAATTAACGTTTGCAATCAAATATGTTGTTGGATAATTCCAACTTACTTGAGGAGCAAGTAATCTCTTTCTAGAAGATGCTAGAAGAGATACAAAAAGGAAAAACAAGAAAAGTTAATTAGGATAAAGTTTTGGGAGATTTACTTTTCTAAGAGTTGTTATTTTCTATATAAATAGGAGTCCATGGAGAGTTGTTCCACAGGACATTAGAGAGAGAGATAAGGCTTTGGAGAGTTGTTCCAAAAGACCTAGAGAGATTTAGTTTTGAGTAGTTTCTAAATCAATAAAGAAAGTTTGTTCTTTAATCTCTTGTTCTCGTGTTGTTGAATTACTTTATGAATCATTCAGCGACTAAGTCAGGGTAAGGTAATCCTGATTTGATTTGGTATCAGAGCTTAGTTTGAAGACTCTGGACGGTGGTACGTGACTCGTAAGCAAGTATGGCAGGCGAGAATCAACAACCACGTGCAAAGGACCTTGGAGTTCCATCAATCCATTGTCCGATGTTGACATCGACAAACTACACGGTTTGGGCGATGAGGATGAAGGTACTTCTCCGAGTTAGTGAAGTATGGGATACGATTGATCCAGGATCTGCTGATCCAAAGAAGAACGATGTGGCGATGGCGCTTATATTCCAATCAATCCCCGAATCCCTGATACTTCAAATCGGAGAACAGAAAACGGCAAAGAAGGTTTGGGAAGCTATCAAATCTCGACACCAAGGAGCAGAGCGGGTGAAGGAGGCGAGGCTTCAAACCCTAGTGGCCGAGTTAGATCGGTTGAAGATGAGTGAGACCGATACGGTAGACGATTTTGCGGGCAAGATCTCGGGCATCGCAGCTCAATCGGCATCTCTAGGAGAGACGATCGATGAAACAAAACTTGTGAAGAAG